GTGAAACCATATTGCTTTTTCTGATGTTTCTTCTCCTTCTTCTCCTGCCATTTTTTAAATGGATTCAGCTTCTTCATTTTAGGGCCCAAGGTCCTGAAATTTGGTATGGAGGTACAGTGGGCAAATACCCTTAGGCGTTTTTTAAATTTTTGTGATACAGGCTTTTAGAATGGTTTTATTTGAGTTTTTTGGCTGTATTATAGCAAATGTATTACTGTGTCAGTGGGCAGTGTTAACCACATTTGGCATGAGTCATCACAATGGAATGCAGGGCATCAACCAATAGGCATGCAGCTTTCCTCTCTTCTTCTTGCTGATTGGCTGTTGGGATTTAACTTGATTAACACCTGCACAGACCATTTCCACCTGCACAGAGCATTTCTTGCTGATTGGCTGTTGGGATTTAACTTGATTAACACCTGCACAGACCATTTCCATACTGACAGTATGTCTGTATTCAAGTGTTTTGGTAGGTATTTCAAGCTTTCCTGCTCCAGCATTGGAATGCGGGGCATGAACGTTTTTTTTTTTGAAAATCAACAGTTTGCATTATGCAATTAAAAATCCTAACCAATAATGTAGGGAATAGCTAGCCAACTGTTGTAGTCTTAGTTGTATGTTACTTCATATTATAGTTATATCAATGTAAAGCATTGTTTTCCCTTGTGTTTCTCATTCTTTCCCTGCCATGTCGTAAAATGTGGTGAAGCCATCGCTGTATTTGCTCCAAAGCAAATATTGGCCTTTCTAGTTTTAAGGATGAAATACTGTCGACAGTTTTTAAATGTTTTATCGGAAAAGATATATCTGCAACTAGAGTCTAGTTGAAAGGGGTCCTGACCTGAGTCGCAAACCCCTGATTTTTCACAGATTCTGTTGGATGTTTGGTTCAATGTTGCATTTAGAACTGTGCCAGTTGCAGACAATGCAAGGAGCATGATTTAAAAGAAAACACAAAAAATTGAAGAAATTCAGTTCTTTGTCAAATGTTTTTGTTCACCCAGCTATAGCTATACTGAACCTCTAGGTTCAAAATATATCTACGATCAGATATTTCTGTGTTCCAGCTCAGCTATCTAATTTCACTCAAACCTAAACAAGGCCTTGACATGTAAATATTTTCACACAAATATGATAGCTCTGTCCCTCGTTGCATTCCCAGCATCCTCAGCTGTCGGAGACATAAATCCCAGCATGCTCTGACCTCCCCCCCCCCACTAACTGACATCCATTAAAATATCCATAACCTTGTTGTGACCTGACAAAAATAGTCTCACAGACTGGTACTGTTTTGGTTGTCTTTTCGACACCTCCCCAGTCCTATCCGAGAGGACACTCCTAAATACAAATCTAAACCTAAGTACTCATTTGAGTGAGGAAATTTATTCAGAATCTTCTATCCCAAGAAGACAAGTGTTTTTATCCTTCTTTTCCAAGAAGATATGGGTTTAAATCGGGTATCACTAATGGAGATCTTAATACAACAAACAAACAAAGAAACAAACAAACAAACCTCTGCAATGATGTCCTGTGACCAGAAGCAGGCGTAGTGCAGAGGTGTGTTGCCATGTTCATTCATTGCATTGATGTCAGCCTTGTGTTGCAGCAGCTGTAGGGACGGTAAAAAAAATACAATGTAAGTTGCAAGTAGACAAACTACTATGTAATTGTGTATATAATTTAAGGAAATGAGGATCTCCTTTGCATAATCAATGAGAAGCATTTAGAGTAATTCATAAAGGTTAACATCATTCGGCAAAGGCATGAGGTTGTGGAGCTCTAATTTTTATTGTACTGGTCTTGGTGTACCTGGTGGAATTATGAAAATCAGGGTTCGAAATCCTTTTTTTCTTAGGTTGCCTTGCCAAAAGCTAGGTTGCCAATAATATTTCAGGTTGCCATAACTCAGCTGGCTGTTTATGTTACAAGGCAAGCCATAAGCCAGGCCACTTGTTCACATGCTGGCCGAGGCAGGACACAGCTTATTTCCGAAGTCGCAAGTTTTGCGTCCGGCAACCTGGCATCTCCAATAAGTCTCACACAGAAACCATGACTTGTGCGGTAAGAGTGCGCATTTCCAACCCTCAAAGTTGATGTATATATTTCCACCCCTAGGCAGAAAGACAGACCAGCAGTGTTAGTAACTAGCGCAGCAGGCTTCTGGGAGTGGGTGGAAGTTTAGTCTGGGCCACGGACCATGGAGAGTCTGGAAAACTGTCGGCAACACTTCGGGGACCACAGTCAACCTTATTTGCTGGTAGTGAGCCATGACTGTCTAACCTTACAAGTTCAACAGTCACTGCATGGGAAATTCTTTCCACTTCCTTTGCTGACAGATAAAAATCTTGACCAAGCAAGCATGTCTGCAGTAGGTACTGCGCCTGTAACGAAACCTGGATTTTTCATTGGCTGTTTTGTCAATGTTGCATCAGAATTTTGCCTGTTGCAGACACAACACTTGAAAACTATACACGGAATGTCATTCTTAAATGGATGAATATGACCTTAAACAAGACGCTCTGCCCAAGTGCTATGCACAGCACCTTTTGCAGACAAGCTAACTAAACACGAATCAAAGCTACACAAAACAGGACTGGACGCTTATCGAAACAAAACACTAAAGATGCACCATTCAGCTAAAGGGGCTCCAATGTTGAATGCTTTCTGACCTTGTATTTCCTGCCTAATGCTTTGAGGTCTGCTATCTGTCACAAGTACATTGCTTACCATTTAATTTTATAATCTATTGAGGCAGCCAGTAGGAAAGTTGGGTAATTGTATATGTTATGGATTGTAATGATCTAGGTGAACTGTCAATCAGAAGAGAGTGACACACTGGTTAAGCTGTCCCACAGGAGACAGATGGGACAGACACTGAGGGAGCGTCATTGGACCTCTGCAAATTCAATTTATCCTTCTTGATTAGTTTCCACTAGTCCAGTCAGCCAAACCTGACCAAATATGGAGGTATACAATACAGCCAAATATGGGCATAGTCCTAGCATGGGGTAGGGTTCGAGGCTTGTCTATGTGAATGTTGCCCTTACTAGAAGCATACACATTGTGTTCATGGACCATCCACACAGAGAATTTTTTTTGGTGACACCTCAGGGGCAGAGCCTTTGAGCATATTTTCCAGATTGTTAAAATAGTAGGAATTCGTGGTAAAAGTCAGGACATACCAGGTTTTAATACGATCACTGGAAAAGGCTTAGATTACTTCATATTTGGCACGTTGGTAGGTCTTGAGGAGACATCAAAATTATTAGAATTTGGTCCCCCTAGGGATTTGTTATGGTACTACAGCGGAATTAACAACAACTTTCAATCCCATGATTTGCCACCTCTCAAAATGTGGGAAACTGCATTCTTAAAGGCTTGAAAATCCAAAATTTGCCCATGGACCCACCTAGATTGCGAGCACTCTTCCCCCCAGGTCTGATCATGCACCTGGGTTGACGGAAAAAAATTATGAGCTGGCCAGAGCTCTGGTGTAAATCAGACCTTAGTCCTTGAACTGACCTTGAGCACGACGTCCCTGTGCCCGTGGCTGGCTGCAAGATGAAGAGCCGTGTCGTCCCCCATGTTACAGGCGTTGATGCGGGCTCCTCGACCAATCAGCAGCTCCACAATGTTCAACCTGCCCTCCCTGGCCGCCCAGTGCAGCGGGCTGAAGCCGTGGTCATCCCTGGAACACATGGTCAAGGTCCAAGTTAGACTTGTCACTTTAAAAGACATATAGCCATTTACAAAAGTCCAATGGACTGAAGCCGTTGTCATCCCTGAAAGACATGGTCAAGTTCAAAGTTAGAAATGTCATTTCAAAAAACATAATTTATGGTAATTTACAAAAAATCCAATGGACTGAAACTGTGGCCATCTCTGGAAGACAAGTTCCAAGTTCGAAAGTTGTTATAGCATGTCTGTATGAAATATGTGGTCACAGTATCAGCTAGCAGTAGTAGTACATGTAATTCAAATGCTGTGTCAGAAAAGATATCGTTTGTAACGGGCAAAATTCTGATGCAACGTTGACCATAGATCCAACAAAACAGTGAAAAATCTGGGTTTTGTGCAGGCGTAGTAAGTTCTACCACCATGCTCAGAGTCAGATATGTTGTCAAGCCAGCCAGTCCTACATGTACCTCCTAATATTTTTTTTACCAACACAGTGTTTATCAAAAGTTGTTCCTCCTTCCTACAACATGCCAATGCGAAGTGTTCAGACATGTATAAAATTTACAGAGTTAACAGGCAGTGCTGGGCTAACATGTACAAGCTGTTGAAGTCGTGGCTTGATAACCACCCTGCTGTGTTCCATCAGCCTCTCACCACCCTGACCATGACCTTCTACTCTTCTAGCCTGGAATCTGGCCTATTCTAGGCCCAGTTTCTTTGCTTCTCATTTGATTGTTTCCACATAGAAATACTAGTAGTCTGGCACCTGTCACCTGAATTGTGTTCTGCATAAAAAAAGATCAATGACCTAGACCAGACTGCTATCTCCATGGTAACTGGCACAGAAGCAGACACCCTGTGGTGTTGGATTACATTATGTAGCAAGTGTTGGACAGGCTGGTCACCATATACATGAATGAACAGAGCTGTTACAATTTCATGCTAGACCATGTGAAGGTAAACATTATGATTATGCCTTTGCTTTGCAAATGTTTCCTTTGTAGGAAACATAACTTCATAAGTCAGGGCACTCATGGTAACTCTAGAGGACATCCTTCATCATGTAGTGACTGCCTATCATTATTTCAAATGTATGAATTGTATAACCACGAAAATGAACTTGACCTTGAATTGTTATCTTTCCTATCTTGCCATCCACATTCCTGTCTCCAACTGATCTGACCTTGTGCTATACAACTCTCAAGGTTATACAGTCAGAAATAGAGAGTGCTTCGGTCCCTGTCTATTGTCAATCATCAGCAGAGTTGGAAGTCAAGCGTATCAGTCTTTATTGCTCCATTGCCTTAATTAAGTTAATATTGACAGCCAATGACAGGAGTTAGTGATTTCATGGCTCATTTCTCAAACAAGTAGCTAAAATTATGACAGAAAATAACGGCAGATAAAAACATAAAAGTTGAAACTACATGTATCGCTTTTGCCCTTGTAGGACTCCCTGGCTACTTCTGTATGCCTGTCTAAGCACATAATTATGTTATCAACATCTAATCTCCTAGCAGATCTTTTGGTGGCTGAAAGACAGTATCAAATTGGCCAGGCAGTATCCGTTTGGCTGGCATTAAAAAAAAGATACTAGTACAAACAAGAAAGCCTGATAAAAATGCCTAAAACACGTCAAAAATAATCCGAAGAAATATGTCAAAAATAATCCTTGGGCCTAAACTTCAACATCAGTAACATGACAGTAGCAGTAACAACAGCTTGGAAGGTTGATATGGCTACAAACCTTTCATTGATATCATAAACAACTCCATCACTCCTCTCAGCAGCTAGAATTGTCATGATTCCCACAAATGCTTCGTTAAGAGTTCTACTGAGTGAATGCACTGATCTGTAGTTGACTAAGATCCTAGCTTGAGTACATGTGAAGTCACATTCAAGTGAAGGTAATTTTAAATTTCCTGTTCAAGAAATGCTTCTCAGCTGTTTTTTTAAAGAACTGTGTGCCAAAAACGGTCAAGGATTCCCCTCACACTATGTCAGGGAGACTTCAGCAGTCAGCTGGCTGGGCATTACTGGAATTCTTCAACCTAAGGGGGGTGCCTCTGGCATGCTAGCCTGGATACCAGACTGTTTCCAGGGCCCATACAGGCCAGCTCCTGTATCTATCTGTATCTGTATAGCCTGTATAACCGTCCTTCAGTGTAATGTACCAGCTTTGCAGGCACATGACACAGCAGCAGCTGGCACATCTAAGTGCAAGCGTCGTTTAAAGTTATCTAATGATAATGCACCTACTGTACTTAGCAAGTTCCACTCTACAATAGTTCTAAGAAAAATGAGTTTGAAACACTTCAATTCTTGGTTGATAACTCTGATATTTGAAGGCATGACTATTTCTTGTTGTCTTCTGAGCTGGTATTAGATACTTCATAGTTCATGCATCTACCAGTATTTTAGTAAGTTTGTATATGACTCTTCTGCTCCAGGACCAACATGCCCCCAAGGACATTTTACTTCAGTCCCATAGTTGGATGCTGGCTAACTAACTATTGGTTGTATGTGTTTCTCCTCCCCCCAAGGATATAAGTTCTAACCCAAATGAACTGGCATCACCCATTGCGTGCTATGGGTCTGGCTTCCAGGCCAATGGCGTGCGGACCAGGGAGGAACACTTGGTTGGATCTTGTTGCCTTGTTTACCTGGGGTTACCAGAGTAAACGCCCGTCCTCTACAGAGTAAACAGAGGTGGTATGTTAAGAGGCCGACCAAAATAAGAGATGGGGACTTTTGTGGTAAACAGGTCCTTCTCCAAGACATGCAAGGAGACAAAAGACACCCCCAAGTCTCCTTGGACGGGACACACCCAAGATCATATTAGCTGTCACATTGCCAACAGTTAGAGGTGCCTACTTGGACCAGTGCTAGGTGTGTCAGGGGCCTTACTTCTTCTTTGACAAGACCGAATATTGTTATCCTCTTGCAGCATTTTGTTGTAATGCTTTCCTGACATTTCTGACCAAACTATGTACACAAATGTAGTAGCACCTTAGTTTATCATTATATGTTTATAGTAACACAGTTCAAGAAATGCTTCTTACTTCTTGTGGCATTGAATGGACCAGTGGCTAGGCTAGCGGACACGAGAAGGTTGAGGGTTCGATTCCTGACATTCCTGGCAAGACGTTGTTTAACACGATTTTCCTCACTCCACCCAGGTGTGAAATGGGTACCTGTCTTCAGTTGGGGAGTTAAAACTAAAAGTTAGTGGAAGGACAGGGATGGGCTCCGCCTTTCAATACTGTACCCTAGAGTCTAGACACTGTGGATCAACAATCCTCTCCCCCTATGCCTCAAAAAGGCTATGGTTACCTTTAGCTTTACCTATATGGGTTAGGTTATTGTTATAATTGTGAGAGAAATAGAGATAATCTTGCCAAGCAAGAAAACATCATTTTGGCAAGTTTTGCCAGTTGAAATTAACCTTGGCAATGAACTTGAAATGAAGGAAACTTTCTGACGAAAAGAAAATATTTTTGTAACCAGATGCAAACCTAAACCCTTCTGACAGACAAGCTAACCCACTTACACCCAGTGAGGATAATGATATTCAGTGTTTGGATTTTGTTGCTGTCCCAGACACTTGGAATGTAGAATAAGTATTACTTTCTAACCCCCAGTCCATTTTCTGCCTGACTTGTATTTCTTGAATGTATCTTGAATGTCTCCCACTTAGTACCAGTAGGTGACATATGAAGGAGAACACACAATATATTTGCTTGAAGATTTATGTCTCCAAAGGCTACGACCCTTTGGTCCCACCCTGGGAAAATTCAAATTACAAAGACACACACCCTTCCCTATTTCACCTTTGTAACACATCTATCTTGGCTTTTCAAGGCAGCAAAACTGAATTTTCAAAGTCAAGTTGCCGGTCAATCTTTAAATGTACCGGTAGTGGGGCTATTTCAAATGCTTCAAGCAAGAAATGATGACGAAAATGTGCTAAGAAATGGTAGTAAATGTCAATATCCGGCAGATTTCCTCATCCAAAAAAAAATTCTTGTATTGCCACCCTGAAATTCCACTGGATGCTTTTAAATCTGAAAGCTTCTTTTCATAGTGTGAATTAATTGTGTATAGAAGGCTGTTGCAGATCATCTATTATTAGACATTAAGCTACAATGTAGAGGTATTTTGGTGCTGGAAAGGTCGAGGCACCATAGAACAGGATGTATGGTACAAGGTGCCCGGATACACCCGGGGTACCGCCAAACATCCATACATTGTAATCAGGAAGGAAAACTCAGCGTGAACAGTCTGGAACTAGATAACAGGTCTGAGAGATAAAGACAACAGTAATACAGTTGAAGATGCAATTACTAAGTATGCAATACTCATTTTCAGGCTTTCAACAAGTACAGTGTATACTAGTACTCACTGTAGTTTTAAGAATAAGGACTTTTGTCATTGAAGAAAGGACTACTGCCATTGAAAAAAAGCAAAATCCCCAGTAATTTTGGGTGTGGAACATAAAGATTTGTTTGTTATACATGTAATTACTTATATTAAGCATGGCACACTGATCTGAATGAGCATTGCTGAAATAATGGCAATGGTTTCTGAACAGTTTTCAGTATGATCCATACTTCCTAAAGTCTGAGTGGTGCAGGTAAAATTTGTCTGGTACAGGTAAGTTTCAATGTTATCAGTGCAGGTATGTAGGACAAGTATTTTGAGCCCTGCCTAACTCTGTTTGTCTGCTGGTATGGGTTACTACAACAAGATGGATGACTACAATTTACTTCGAGTATTAAGTAGTGCCGGCTTTGAACACCTATTTGAACAACCTATCCTTGACCCGAGAGGGCCACCTGACTTTGACAGGTGAACAGTAAAGGTGTTTGTCATTACAACACCACTGGCCTGTGTCCACTTGCTGAAAGTCAAGCACCTGAACCCTGTACTTTGTCCTTCAAACAGTCACTTCGCTATTCTTCACTTTCAAGGGTGGAACTTCTAGGTTTTTAGGCCATGTTGAAGACACCCAAAGCAATTTCAGGGCAGTAAAACTGGATTTTCAAAGTCAATTTTCTGGTCATTTTTTAATGTAAGTAAGTTGAATCAATCCTATCCCATAGCATACTGATATCTGTGAGGAAAAAATATGTTGTCGCTGATGGAAAACTGTTGCTTGTTTCGTATTGTAAGCTGATTCTAGTTATTTTTGTTGGTACCAAAAAATAATGGGACTCCTCATGGCTTGTTTTGTGACTATGGGTATCTCAAATGCCAGCATAAAATGATGGTTTGATTCAAAATTCATTTTTTAAATTATAAACAAGCTTCATGGCTCCTAATCACAGAAAGAATGCCTCGGCCTGTTTTTTTTTTCTTTTTACCCCGTAGCTTCATATTTTTTTGGTGAAAATCCAAGATCCAACATATTAAATTGTTGTGGCATAAACAGCCATAAAAGAAATCATGGGATAATGACTAGATCTCATCTCATTTTATTTTATTTCATTTACCCCCATGTCAGTGACCCTGGCAGCAGTATAATAAAAGACTGGATATTACGACTCATTTCATTTCATTGTTCAGGTGTGTTATGTTAGCTGGAGTGACTCAAGCTGCTCTAGGCTAATGTTGCTGACATAACTGCTGTATCCACCCAGGTTTTCCCACATATGGATGTCATCTGAACAGGGAGGGTGACTCATATCCCAACAACTCTCCCACCCACACAACACACACACCCTTCATATTGAACTTAAAAAGCAAACAGATACTAGTACCTTGTACTAAGGCCACACCAATTTAATTTGTTGGTTCTCGGATTTTTCAGAAAAAATTTGAAGTGCCTAGGCATCCTACGATAGCCCCAAACACTACAATATTAGTAGTAGCCATGAACTTAAAGTCAACATACCAGGCTGGTTACCTTGAGGGCTGGCGTGTGATCTGAATGTAAGTTCTTTACGTACGTCAAAGTAGCCCGAATTGCATGCAGGAAAAACTTGATAGGTGTAGTTTTTGCACAATCACATGCATAGACAGTTTTCATGCAGTCAGGTTTTTGCCCTTGTGTAAATCGGGTCGCAGACCTCACTAGATTAAACACTTATATCTAATTTGGTTTCCTTTTGCTAAGTGCTAAAAGACCAATAAACCAATTCAAACCACTGATGGACTACTGATGGACTGTCTTTTGATGTTGGAATTCACAAATCACCATCATCATTGATAAACATCAGTAAATTCAAATTATAGGCCCCATTCCATTCTAACAATTCTTCTTATTGTCTATAATATATATGTTTGTTTTAGTTATACATACAGCAAATAGAAACAGGGCTCGAAATACCACCTGCATATGCACCTTAGTGCAGGTAAAATTGGAGCTATGCGGGGTTCATAATTATATACACATGTAGTTGAATGTGGAATTTCATTTGATGCATTTACTGTTGCATGATCTGTGATGGGCAAAACAAACCAATGGTTTCTTTACAGTTTTAATATGATCCATACTTAAATTCTGAGAGGTGCAGGGAAAATTTGTCTGATGCAGGTGATTTTCAATGTTAACCTGCACCAGTACTGTACAGGTATGCAAAAAAGTATTTCAAGCCCTGACTGAATGTTGGATACTTGCTGTCCATTTTGTATCCCTTCCACATAGGTATTTCCTTCACACACCTTGTGTAACTGACACTAAAGGAAGTGCTGTGTTTGTTACAACAGTCCCTGGGGGGTGTGACATCACTTCAATCATCACAGAGTAGCCATTTGGATTATCTCCCTGATCAGGCAATTTGAATGACAAGACCCTTTGGGAGTCCTTCACACAAAAGAAGCATTAGGTTCAATAGACTGATTCACTTGTATGGCTTCTCTTTTGTTTTTCCATTCCCTCCTTAGAACCAATTAAAGCCGTTTAAATCACAGCTCTTTAGAAGTTGAAGGACTCCTGGAGTTGCAATTTTCTGGATGCCCGACTTTTCCTGATTTGGGATAACCAAGTCTGTTGTCAATTACTGGCTACAGGCATCTCTCAAGCGCTCTTCCTCGGTCACCGAAATTACTTTCAATTTAATTTTCTTCCATGATTTTTACAAACTATCCTGGGAGTGATTCCTCATTCCGTGAATTGTTCTGTCTCGATTGCCAGACCGTGAGATGATTTTGTTGCCTACACTGACCCCATTTGGGCATTTTTCTGAATTCTGTGTGTATGTTTTAGTAGATCTGAAACTTGATTTTTTTAGCAGACTTGAAAAACTGATTATGTGCTAGTCCAAAAAATGGCCTTTATTTTCACATAGTTGAAGTCTTTTGCAGTACTGCCTTCCAAATATGTTTTACCTTCCTAGAACAGGTAATGTAAATGTTCCTTGTTAGTACCTATATCTGTATAGCCAGTATAACTTTTGGCGTAATACACCAGCTTCCCAGGCACGCAGCGCAGTGGCAGCTGGCTACATTACACCGAACGACCTTTTACATCTACTCTTTGCACATCAAACTGTAAGCATTGTATAAAGCTATCTAGTGATGATGCCCTTACTGTACTTGGTGGCAGCAAGTTCCACTTTGCAATAGTTCTAGTAGTTGGTACATCCACCAGTTTATCAGTCAATGTCATTTTGTACATCATACATAGTACTACATTGTTATGCCTATGTACAGTACAAACAGAAATAGATAAAAGACTTGATATGGCACAGGCCCACACCAAAGCTAAGTGTCAGTCAAAACTCTTATGACCAAATGACTTTTGTTTTCCACTGAAATTTACATACTGTTGATACTAGACCTTGTCAAAGCTCCAAGATAGGAAAACCCCCATTCCCAGACAATACACAACCATGCCCCTCCCACTCCCTTACATGGAAGCAAAGGACCCCTCTCTCCACTGTGATTCACACATTCAACCTATTTATAGTAAGCAAACGGTTCAGGGATAAAATAGATCATGGTGGCATGTCGGGGCTACAATGAGAACTGCACTACTAAATATATTTGATTTAAGATTAACTGCTGAAATGTGGACCTTTTAATGACATAACTTGGCATTCTTGGCAATCTTTGAATCATTTGTCACCAATTCTAGGGCAGTGGCAGCTATTTTTTGACATAACACGATCTGTTTAATTGGTAGAAATGTTTGGAAGTGTTGTTTGTGGGATACTTACCCTTGGTTTGGATCGTGTTCGGTGTTGTCGAGCCACACACGCACGTACATGGCGTTACCCTCCCGGCACTGTGTAAAGATATCATCCATTCTGTCCGATCGTGCTTTTCCGGTGTCTCGAATTTTCCAATGGCACGCGGAAGTGATAGAAACCCAGACGGCGCAAAAGCGGTCTTCCAGGCGGGTATAGGTGTCAGGAGAGCGTCCTCTGGCCCTTCGGGGGAGTCATGAATCCTTCTCCAAACAATCGGGACCAGAAATAGCGAGGCCGCGGGGTCGCCGAATGGTTCCACGTAGCCAAAGCAGGCGATGTAGTTGTTTTGCCGGACTGGACTTCTTTCAGGACCTCCCCTCGCACAGTGGGAGGGCGCACAGCGCGTTCGTTCGTGACCGCTGGTGTGGTGAAATTCTGCTGAAAGCGGCCTTGGAGCAGTGTCAACCCTCCGGTTATCTGCAGAGGACAGTGACACAGCCGATCGGGGCCACTAGTACAGGAAGTCACTTCGCCGATCGCGTGTATTTACTTCCAGGATATCGGTTGCGCCCACCCACCCAACTTTGCTTTCCTTGTGGGCTAACCCTCCGAAACCGTCACTCCCGAATTCCTGGCGATCACGCACGTCCCCGTCAATATCCAAGCAGATCTGCGAAATCCCCACGTAGCAGAGACCCTGTGGAAGCTGACTCCCTCCTCGGGGTGGCGAAACTCCAGCGGGAATTCCTGAAAACGTGGAAATTCCAGCGGGGTTGAGCGGGCCTGGTGACCTCCCGTGTCCGGACGTCCGACTGTTGGACTGGCACCGGCCACTGCGCACACCCAACTGCGCACCAGTTTTAGCCTAGGTGCCAGACCCCTGGCGGTGAACACGCGAAAGAACTGACCCCGTCTACCGGCTCCAGCTCCCAGAGTTGGCACCCCTCCTCGGAAGATCTAACCTGGTGCTAGAGATTAATTAGATCCCGGGTGATAACTTTTGGATCGGGGCGTGTGGCTTCCCCCGGCCGAAATAATTATCACTTCTGGCGGGGTCTGACACCTAGGCTAAGCACCTTCCCGCCAGCCCGCGCGCTCAAAAATGGCTGCCGCGACTGGCAAGTGGCCGTGTCGTCTGTGATTTTCTCTCTTTTGCACCGGTTGTAGACACTTAGAGGCTCAGTTTTACAGACAGGTTGGTCATGTATGTTACTACAATATTTTGTGTAAAAAATAGGGTTAGGGTAGTCAAGTTTGGAGCTGTATTTGGCGCTTATATGTAGCCGGCATAATGCCGTCCCGTTTCGAAAATGTTCCTCTGATCATTTTACACCTGTTCCAATACTCTACGGACCTCAACGGGTATGACTTTTTGTCCGCAAAACCGCCACGAATCTGTAACGTCTATCTGCCGATGAAATACTAGTACAACCATCTCGTATAACGTGCAGATAATGCTGTTTGTATTGATAACAGAAAGCACGTTCACAAAAGGTCAACGACCGAGAAGTCAGACGAATTCGTCTGACTTCTCGGTCAGTATTCAGAAAACTTTGAAACTGGACAAGCAGCAAGGTAATATTTATAGTACATCAGAGCACTGAAATTTTCCTTGACCATGTCTGTTTTTATCTCCCTTGTTTTGTTTTTTTAATGATGACCATTTACTGTTTCTCATATCGTTGTCTATTGTCCTTTAACTTTAAATTGATAACAGCCAATTTGTAATGATTATTCTTTTGTTTATAGAATCAGAGTGAAGTTTCCAGAGATTTTGTGTTAGATTAGGTGTTAGACACACACACTTTTTGTTCTCAACTGAACATAACATAAGTGATCAGTCGATAACAAAGAAATCAATATTATTTATTAATGATGTCTCTCTATATTTGTCTATATATGATGTAAAAAAACAGTGATAGCTGGTGCGTTACAGTAAATATTTTCAATGCTGATCTATGTAAATTTCTCTCCATTGCAGTTTTACCCACCCACTCCTGCTAGTGTAAAAAGAAGACACCATCATGGCGAGTGTGCGGCCTGTCCTGATGCTTGGTTTGGTCCTGGTCGGCCTGTTTGACATCTTGTCCAACTATGAGGACAACAGGTGCGAAATGACGTACATGTTCGAGTATCCAGAATACCTACCTGTCCCTCTGAGCGAAAATGTCACCAAATCCTTCCCGCGATACCACCTGTTCCTGTACGGCGAGGGCGCGTACGCGAGACAGTCGAAGAACTTCAAGCTGACCGGAGTACCGGTATTGTTCATCCCCGGCAATGCAGGCAGCTACAAGCAGGTCAGGTCGCTCGGTTCGGTGGCCCTGAAGAAAGCACAGCACCTCCGCACCCCGTTCCACTTCAACTACTTCTCAGTGGATCTGAACGAAGAACTGACGGGGATGTTCGGCGCCATACTGTCGGAGCAGACAGAGTTTGTCCATCGGTGTGTACTGAAGATCCTTACGATGTACCGGAAGGCGGAGACACCACCGAAAAGTGTGGTCCTTGTTGGTCACTCAGTGGGAGGCATTATAGCCAGAGCTCTTTTTACCCTGCCTGACTTTGATCTCTCGATGGTCAACACCATCATCACCCAGGCTACCCCCCACCAAAGTCCTGTCATCAATGCGGATCAGTACATGGCAGACTTTTACCGCACAGTCAACCAGTATTGGCAGGATGGAATGAGCAGTGGACGACTTTCCCACGTCACCATAGCCTCCACGGGAGGCGCACACAGAGATTACCTTGTCCAGTCGGGGCTCACCTCCCTGAAAAGGATTGTCCCAGAGTCCAACGCTGTTAGCGCCGTGACATCAGCAATTCCGAAAGTGTGGCTGTCCACCGACCATCTTGCAATAGTGTGGTGTAAGCAGTTGGTTCTGGCCACCAAGAGGGCGCTTTTCGACATCATCGACCCGACAACGAGGCAGGTCACGACGGACGTGAAACGCAGGATGCAGGTGTTTCGCCACCATTTTCTCCACCACCCTGGGAGCAAGTCCTTCTCCCTAACATCAGTACAAAGTGTAGTTCCACCAGGTGATAAGTGGGTCGAAATTACAGATGAAGTTTGGGAATTTTCCGAGACTGCAAACAAAGACAGAACAAACTACATGTTCCCCATTGACGTAGAGTCAGGTAGAGATACCTTCGTAGCAATGACCAACATTGTAGAAGATAGCTGGGTGTACTTGTGCCAAGAAGAGGGGGGACGTAGGTGTAAAGAGGGGCTAGACATGTCCTCTCGGTCTCAACTGAGCCCCC